TCTATCCTATTTTGTATATACAGATACAAAATGGTCCTTCATTTGTATCCCTTTTTTTTTTTTGGTTTAGTTTTGTCAGAGATGGGTATTCCATTGCCACTTAAATATTGTAGGTGCATGAATTCAGCAAAATAATCCAATATACTCCAGCAGTCCGTAATAGTAGTGGGTTATCCATAGGACTGGCAATATCAGAAGTTGTTGACTAGGGTCAGGGAGATGGCTCAGTAGGATAAACGCTTCTCTGGCAAGTGCAAGAGCTTGAGTTCAATCCCTGGTTCCGCAAAAAAAAAAAAAAAAAAAAAAAAAAGTTGTTGACTCGAGACCTTTACAGCTCAGCATATTAATATGGCTTTACTTTTCATACCTCATTATTATACTTTTCTGCTGGATGGTTAAGACCAAGATAAAGCAAGGACTATATAACAAGAAATGTAACTTTCTCTTGTTCTCAGTTTGGTGCTAGGTAAAGTCATGCAGGGGGTGACATTCATCTTTCAGCTTCTCTTTTCTTCCTGCCTTCTGTCCAGAGCTCCCCTCTATAACCATGCTCAGAATCCCATGTATTCTCAGGCTTTGAAACTAAGCACACTTAGGTTCTAATTCCAGTTTCGTGCTCACTGGTTGAGCAATTCTAAACGCACATAACCCTAAGAGATCTTAACCAAAAAAAAAAAAAAAAAAAAAGGGGAGGGGGAGAAATTGTAATAAATGAAGTGATGCAGGGCATATGATATAGAACTTCCAAATAATCCAAATAATATAAGGGAAATGTAACCCCCAACTTACTCTAGATGTCTGATACTTGAGTTCTTGTTCTTTAAACTCAAAGAACAAATTCTAGGAATAATGGAGATTCTCGAGTAGAAGTGGTGTTTGAGAGAAAGAAAGCTTCTGTCTAAGAGGGACAGAGGTGGGTCCCGAGTGGGTGGAAAATCCACTTCTCAAAGGAGTTTTATAGAGTAAAATCACAAGGTGAAGTGGGCATAAGGTGGGACAAAACTATAGTTAACTATTAAGATTGTAAATATAGTTGCTTAAGTAATAGTGATCCAATGGGAAATCACAAGATGGGTATGAGATGGGACAAAACTATAGTCAACTAGTAAGTTTACAAGTATAGTTACTTAGGTAATATTGATTGTGGATCAAATAGGGAAACAGGTCATGCAGCAAGCATATCAGGATTGAACAAGTACTTGCCTATTTAGAATGTCAATCACTGCTGCTCATTCCTAAGGGGAAGAAGGAGGGTATAGTCGTTTCTCTTTGTCTTGAAGCCTGACCTTCAATGAGTGGCCTCCAGCCCCAGTGATAATATATTCTTATCTTCTGCATTGATTCTCTCTTGAGCCCAACCCCATTTGATTGTCTATAATGTTTTTAAATAATTTAGCTATCTACAGTAGAAGGACTGATAGGACTTAGTCATGTGGGTGATTGGAAAGATAAAGAACAGATGGAGACATGGTACTCTCCATTCCTGCAGGCAAAGTGTGGCAAGACAAAGCAAGCCTGAGAAGCAATCTGGAGGTGAGCAACATGTTGCTTCTGGGAGAACAGCACTGGGCTGGGTCCTGCGTGGCTGGAACCCAAATAGCACTTATAGGAGCTATTCATGTTTATTCATCACATATCAGTTCTTTAGAAGTTCTGACCTTGGACTGCTAGAGCCCAGAGGCCAGTGAATAGCCATCATGATAATCAGAGTCTTGGGCCAGGGAGATAGCTCAGGAGAGTAAGTGCTTGCCTGGCAAGCGCAAGATCCTGAGTTCAATCCCCGGTACCACCTAAATAAATAAATAAATTAACAAACAAACAGACAATCAGAGTCTGTAGTAATGTGAAGTAAAATGAATAAGACACACAAGTTTAAATGTTGCATGGCTTCTTTTATGAGAAGCCCAAAGTAAAATTTTTTTTTTTTTTTGTGGAAGCAGGGATTGAACTCAGACCCTTATGCTTGCCAGGGAAGCGCTTATTCTACTGAGCCATCTCCCTGGCCCTCAAAATAATTTGAAGAGCAAAATAAAATATAGATACAGTGATAGGAAACAGGATGATGGGTTTTTGCAAATGGAAAGATAGCCAGGGATGGGGGTAAGGGATAGAGGGGAGCGGAAGAGGAAATATAAAGAATTGATGTGTTGCATATATGTCCAAACTCTGCACAATGAATATAATCATTATGATACAGGAGAACGAAACTCCCAACCTGAAAGATACCTGGGACGAGTTTCTGTTCTCTAAAACTAAAGAATGAATTTTAGGAACAATGGAGGTTAAGAGCATAATATATTTATTGGGGAAAGAAAACTTCTGTCTGAGAGAGGGACAGAAGGGGACCCCAGTGGGTTGCTAAGGAATCTGCCTTTCCTAGCGATGGGGTGTGTGTGTGTGTGTGTGTGTGTGTGTGTGTGTGTGTGTGTGTTTCAGATAAGGTCTTGCTATGTTCATTCTGGCCTTGAGCGTACTTTGTAGCCCAGGCTGGTCTCGAACTCACAACTATCCTCCTGCCTCAGCCTCCTGAGTTCTGGGATTGCAGGTGTGTATCACCACACCTGGCCTTAAAATTTGTTTAATAAAACTATACATACTATATCATTAAACATATTAAATTATACATAAAATTTCTATATATAGAATATATGAACTTCATGTATAGGGAAAAATGTATAAATTATAGCTTTTGTATCCTACCTGCTTAATAAATAGGAAGCTATTTGTCAATAAAAAGAAAATAGAGCCCAGGGATATAGCTCAGTAGAGTAAATGCTTGCCTGGCAAGCACAGGGTCCTGAGTTCAATCCCCAGTACCGCAACAATAAATAAATAAATAAATAAATAAATAAATAAATAAATGTCTTTTTTGAATGTATTTAGTACAGGGTATTCAGGGTCTATGTAGATTGGACTCCTAGTGATCTGCCTGTGCTCAGCTACCCA